ACCAGTTTGTTCCAGAGGACCAGTCTGTTCCAGTGGACTGTTCCAGAGGACCAGTCTGTTCCAGTGGACCAGTTTGTTCCAGAGGACCAGTCTGTTCCAGAGGACCAGTCTGTTCCAGAGGACCAGTCTGTTCCAGTGGACCAGTTTGTTCCAGAGGACCAGTCTGTTCCAGAGGACCAGTCTGTTCCAGAGGACCAGTCTGTTGCAGTGGACAGTCTGTTCCAGAGGACCAGTCTGTTCCAGAGGACCAGTCTGTTCCAGAGGACCAGTCTGTTCCAGTGGACCAGTCTGTTCCAGAGGACCAGTCTGTTCCAGAGGACCAGTCTGTTGCAGTGGACAGTCTGTTCCAGAGGACCAGTCTGTTCCAGAGGACCAGTCTGTTCCAGAGGACCAGTCTGTTCCAGTTCCAGTGGTTCCATCTCCTCCTAAGGACCTATATGGTCCAACTCTCATTCCAGTTTTCGTTCCGCCCACGAAGACATCTGTAAGTCTGTGACGTTTTGACTATACAGAATACATATTCAAGACGTCAGTAATGTCATTCTAGTCAGAATGTTAATTAATGTTAAGATATATTAAATAGAAAAACTGTGTAATTGAAGATATCATTTCATTTGGAGATATCTGAAAATACATTTTGACAAGTCAAAATTGCAATTCAAGATATCTCTAAATTAGGTTCGCCTAGACATTATTTGCTTTGAAGTTATCTATTATTTAAATTTCGCCAGTCAAATCCAAAAACACATTTAAGATATCGTGAATCATGGTGTCGTTTGAGATTTTTTTAATTAGAATTATGACTATCAAAACTAAAATCCAGAAATGCTGAACTCACTTCAGGACAAGTCATAATTTAATTGTAGATATCTGAAATCTGTATTTCAGACAGTTAGTAATGCGGTAACTCTGATGTCATTTCAGCTAGTCAGAACGTAAGTAGAGATATCTTAAATTGCTAAAACGTCGAGTTATAAAACAATTTGAGATATCTGGAAAATAAGGCAGTAAAATTTGCCGTTTATGTTAAAACAGTCTGCCATAGTCTTCCCTCTTTTGTTTTACCTACTTTCCTCTCCACACGTTCAAATAAAGACCACAAGAAATGTGCAAATTAGGAACATTAAACAAGTGGATAATTATCATTTTACAGTTACTTGTATCCCAAAAGCATGTTTTAATAATAGATCTTTCATTTAAAGATACAGTTGCTATGTTTATTTCTGTAAATAAACATGAATAGGTTGTTTGAGAAGCCTTAGCTTTAAGTTGGCTAAGTAATGTCTCATAGAGATGCCTTCAAGGTTAGGGGACATAATGATCCATGCAGGCAGCGTGTATGCATGTAAGGGCGCTAAAACGCGGCGGCCGCCTGGGATTTAAAGGGCACCAAACAGCATCAATGGAAGCTCGAGGTCAGCGACAGGGAGGAGAGACAGCTGAGTGAAAAGTTTGAAAAGTCATCCGATCCCCAAACACTTGGAAAAACCACACACACACACACACACACACACACACACACACACACACACACACACACACACACACGCACACACACACGCGCACACACACAATTAGAAAACGGATCTGTTCCCTTGATTATTACACCACAAGAACGGTCGAGAGGAGAGGAGATTGATTGGTTAGCGCTGTGAAAAAGAATAAAAGATCTCCTGAAAAGGTTTACTCCCGATTCCTCCGAGACGGCCTTGCTTCCCTCTCAGGAGGTCGTGTTTGTGCTCGCGAAATGTATCGTTGATGAGCTCATTTAACCGCCGGATCTTGTGTGGCAAACTGAATTATCCGGGCCCACATGCAACACAGTGCCGATCTCGGTCAGCGGCGGCTCGCCGTCTCCTCCTTTGGCAGACGCAGGCGGGTTGATGACTACGTACCCTCTGGCTGACCCAACCTCAACCAAGGCAGAAGGAAAATAGAGAAATGGAAGAAGAGGTACAATTTCTTCTCCCCCACCCCTCCAAACAAAGTGAGCTGTGAGCCGCTTCGTGATGCTCTTTACGTTCATCTAAGTTCACATTCAGGAGCGTGTGCAGTCTTTATAATAGCATACCTTAGTTACAGAACAAAAATATTAAAATTTGATACTAAAGTCCAGCCGCAAAGGTGATCAAATTTACCCTGGAGGAGCTGCAGAGATCCACAGCTCAAGTGGGAGACACATTCCACAGATTTGGTCTTTATCAACCCGGTAAAACCCAGTTCTGTGCTTTTCTTTGGTCAAGAGGGTCTGGACTAAGGATGCACTGATCTGCTTTTTTCCACTTCCAGTACTGATCCCTGGGCGTGATGCAGGATTCCAGTTCGATGAAGCTTACCACTGTGAATAACACAAGGGGAGCAGAGAAATAAACCTTGTGCTCCAACTTTAATTGCTCTATATCTGGAGGCGTGGTGAACGAATGACTTCGTTCACTTCCTCCGCTGACATTGCTAAAACTATGGACAGAAAATCAACAACATTCCTTCTTCTGTTTTGCTGATTGGCCCGTTTAAAACCATTGAGAAATTGAGCTCAATGGGAGAAATCCCAGAGAGAGCACTGAAAAGAGATGAGAATCAAGCAGAATTGCTTCAAAAGCCAATTTGGCTTTATGAGTCTTTATGGAAGGGCAGCAAAAGGAAGCCAGTGTTGAGAAAATGCATCGCCTCAAGTCATGAGGAAGAAAACCACAAACAGGTTGACACAAATTGAACTTTGTGGCCAACATGGGAAACACTGTGCATGGTAGAAGCATTATGTCTTCATCTCTTCAGCAGGGCCTGGGATTTCAGAGTTCTGTTTCTAAATAATTTTGAAACTCATGAACAGTTTTCCTTGAAAGTTAACTACGATGCACCACTTTGTGTTGGTTTACCACATAAAAACCCGAATGAAATACATTAAAATTTGTAAGATGACAAAACGTGAAAGAGAAATGGATACTGTCGAATACGAGTCTCGCTTGGCTCAAGAAGAACGCTGTGAGGTTGGACTGATTTCACTGAGAATTTGAACGGGCGCCTGATGATTAAAGTTTTTTTTTTTTTGGCGTCCGTGAAGTGCAGCATTAGGCTCTCAAACTCGACTTTGGGGGATGGATTTCCACTGTTGGATTATCATAACCATATAAAACACAAACCCCTGGAGGTAAATCGCTTTCCATTCTTTATAGATTACTTCTGCAAAAAGAAAAAGGAAATCAAATGATGCAAATCAGCCCCGCCCATGGAAGTTTGCTGCACGGCGCAGCAGACTGCCCACTGTTTTAAAGAGGCAAGTCATGTGTCTGGAGAACCAGTTCAATATGAAAAACCAGCTCATTAGACGTCAGTGAATTTGATACCAGCAGACAAACAAAAAACAAACAAACACAAGAAGATAATGGGCACAAATCTGGATTTTGGAACAAATCCTGAAAGGCCTGCCAAAGGTTTGTTCACAAAAACAAGTCTTCACAATAAATACTGGCATCTATAGCAAAATGTAATTGTTTTACAGCTTTTGATCGACGCCACATTTTAGATCTTTCTTTAAAAAACAACAGCAACAAAAAACCCCAAAAACAATTGTGAACAAAAAACATTATTTGTCCGGTGCTAAAATGGACAAATGAAAGAACCTGCTATGATGTAGTGACTAAAAGATCATTTCCTTGTGAAAGCAGTATTACCTTTTCACACTTGTTACTTTTCTAGCTTTTTGTGGAGCTGCCTGTTTATGTCGGTGGGAAAATAAGAATAAAGAGATTTGGTTTCAGATTTTTTTTTTTTATCTTGAAATACATATTATCTTATAAATCCTTGATTCAAAATGTTATTAAATAAGGGAGTACAGATAAATTGAATAGGGAATCTAGACTCCAAAACTCAAGATTTCCAACAGATTTTACTTGGACTTGAGCTCATTTAAAAAGAAAAGCAGACAGAAACGACCATTCTTTCATTTTTTATGCGCATTTGTTCAGATTTTTATCTCAAATTTTTTATCTTGGCGACCACACTTTTGGAAATCACTACACAAATTTAGAAATATATGTCAAGAAAAAGTTTTTTTTTTTGCCAGAGCAAGTGAGTGTCATTTGGATTCTCCAGTTTGTGTTTCGTTCTCACTTGGTGGGATCTGTAATTGATTTTAACACAACGGCATGACAGAAGTTGTCAAGCGAGTTCATTAGATAATCGGCTTCCGTTATATTGGCAGTGAGGCTGAAAATGTTTTAGAACAATCTTGGTTTGTGTGGTTACATCCCGAGTCCAAACAAAGTCTCTTTGCAGTTCAGTAGAAGAACCCTCTAAGCCTCTTTTAGGTCTTCAGAGACCAGCTCCGCTGCGCCCCTCGCCTGTTTGTCAGCTTTAATTGTTTCAGCTCATTCGGTCTGACAAACAGGAGAAGGGAGGCGGTCTGCTGTGACAGCGTCACGCAGCGACGCAGTGGGAGGGAGGGTCATCAGCGTCTCTTAACAAAAAGAAAAAGAAAAAAAAAATCAATGTATTTCTTCCTACTGACACAAACACGCAAAAGCCTCTTTTATTAATTCTGTGTAATCTCCCAGATTAAGCTCCAAACATGTAATTCTTTTTACTTCTCAGTAATTGTAGAATATAACGCAGTTCTATTTCCTATTTTTATTAAAAACCAGAATTTTATTTTGAGACAATGAGCTGAGCTTTTATTCAAACTTATGAAAATGAGTCCATGTGCTATTAAAAAAATATACAATTTGATGTCAAGCCCACTTGCTACAGTAATGTAAAAACTTAAATAAATTGGGGCAATTAAAAAAGAAAATCTCTTCAGCATTTTTAGTTTAATATAAGTGCTAAACACAGTTAAGTCAGATTAACTGAAGTTGTAGCAACAGTGTTTTGAACGTCACTGTCAAAGTTGGTGGAACTAAACTGAGTTTAGTTGAACCAGCAATTTACCTTCTGGTGCTTTAAAGCATTTAGACATGCGTGCAATTATTCCACATCAAATGTGGAATGTGAGGTATGCTGACCTATAGAAATGGTCCAGACCGCGGCGATCTTCATCATGGCCTTGGTTCTGGAGTTGAAGCGGCTGTGCTCGATGGGGTTGCGGATGGCGACGTATCGGTCCAGGGAGATGGCGCACAGGTGCATGATGGAGGCGGTGGAGAACAGCACGTCCAGGTAGATCCAGATTGGGCAAAGGGCGCTGGGTAGAGGCCAGGCGTAGTCTGGAAGAACAGCAACAGGTAGGGGAGGGGGAATCATTATGTGCTCCCAACTGATGAAATATTCTGATTTCCCCGCTGCAACGCAGTAGATGCTGCTGACGCCGATGGGAGGAAAGAAGGTATTTCATTACAGCCTATCTGTTCTGAGATACAGCTGAGCCGAGTTCATCAAGCTGAGCTGACTATCGAGGCTTAAGACGCTCCGAGGAGAAACTCAAAGTACCTTCATTATTTAAAGTTAATTACAGTGCGGGGAAAAAAAAAATCTAAATATAGATTTTATACACTAAATGTTCACGACCCAACGGCAAACAGGACACAAGTCATTCCCCATAAAATATTAACTTTCAACATATGCACAGCTCTATGTGCTTTCTGCATCTGTTTTATCATAAGGAGGCCATGTACATAACATTAAATAATACTGAAAGCACAAAAAAACAGCTCAAGACACTTGATTAATGAATTCACAGCAAAAGCACAACATTTTTGCAAGTATTTTTTGTCTAGTTTCAAGTTCAAATATCTTATTACATTTGAAATAAGACAAAAGCTTGTTTTATGTCAATAATTCTTGAATATTGATCAAATATGCTGGTTCCACTGATTTATTATAATAATTGTTATTTTTATCATTTATTGCTTTTTTCTCTTTTTCTGCCAAAAAACTGGCTGACAAAAGTTTTCAGTCTGGGTGCTTTGGTGTCAACTAGCCCTGTTTGTTTGAAGAACAGGTTTTATTTTTAAAGAAAATTCTAAATTAATTTTGTTTTGTTTATTTATTTTAATATTTAAAATGTCTTCTAGTTTCGCTGCTCAGTGGCCATTAGAATGTAAAGTTTACTGATCTCTGAGAATTTGTTGTCAGTGTGTCCTTCTCACAATATTTGTTAAAAATGGTCTCAAAACAACAATATTGTCGTTTATCGCAATAACTTCTGAGACGATTTACCATCCAGAAAAGTGTGTTGTCACAGCCGACCTAACTGCATCATGTTTGTAAACTGAAATGCACTTTAAAATGCCTCGTCGCTGAAATGTGCTAAACTTGGCTTGAACGTGTATTTCTGTTTTAAGGGGTAAACGCCAAAGGGTTTCATCAAGTATGTGCAAAGCTTGGTGGTCATTATCGGCTTCTTGTTATCTTTCCAGGAGACAGCAGTTTTGTAAGATGATTGGTCATGCACGTTTTGTCCGTGCATCTAAATGTTTCTATAAGGCAGTGTGATTAGGGATGGCTCGGTAAACAACTCCTCTACATTCCCCGCTGCAGGCGAGTTTTCTTTGCCCCTTTCCTCGTGAGGAACGCCAAAAGTCAGAGTTCCAGGATGTGATACACAAACTAATTTGGGTGTGAGGTCACTTCTCTACGGGGTGAGCAGACTGGGTCACAGAGAATGAAACTCCAGGATCACTGGCAAAACAAACGAAACAACTGAAGTACAGTAACTGAGGAAAGAAAAAAACAATGTGCCTGTCATCTGAGACCAACCAAGAGAGAATTAAATCATCCACCGCCCAATCTGAGGGAAATTAATTAGCTCAACAGGCATGCTGACAGGTGGGCTAGCTCGGTATTAGCTTTTATACCTGTAGGGAAAATGAAAAGCTGCAAGTGTTGAAGGTAAAAAGGTGGTTAAAAGTCACCTAAAATGAACCGTATCTGATTAAATTGCTCCAAGCGTGAATGTTCTATCAAACTCCCCCATAATCACCGTCTCAGCTTCAGTCGAGCATATTGTCTTTTTTAGTACTCTGGCTCATGTTGTATTCGTCACCACCCTCCTCCCCACCCCCACGTAATCATTTCTCAAATTAATATCAGTGTCTCCACGTTGCAAGTGGCTTTAATATATTGTTAACATTCACCGCCGTGGCTCAAATTTCAATCCTCTTCGATCAGATACTCTCACAAACTCGAGTGGATTTACGTAAACGACGGTGGCAGAATCTGTTCACCTTGATTCTATTTTAGAAAATATGAAGAGTCTGTCTCTCTGTTTCCTTGCAGCTGCTTCGACAAAACATTCCTCCCTTTGGAGAGAACAAAACCTGCAGCCAAACAGACATGTTTGGATTTTTGCTTAATTTCAGTTCTGATCGCACGGACAAAAGAAATGCGATGCATTCGCAATGATTCATCATGTGCTCGTATTCTGAGTGGGTGGGAGCATGCGTAAGTTTTTAAAGACATGCTGGAGGCACTGAGGGACACACATCCCTAAACACAGGAGGTGTGGTGCAGCTGGCTCAATCTAAATGTGGACTTTTTCACATTTTGTAAACCTCTCCAGGGTTTCTCCCTGTTTATTATAAGCCTGGCGGGTCACCAGGTTTTATTTGCTCCCCCACCAGACTGAGCTCTACGTTTTTTGTATCTTTGCAACATTAAAAACTTGAGAAGGAAACCTAAAATACGGAAGGAGCTGAAAACACAAGTTCAGGCTCATCTTGGGAAACTGATCCATATCACAATTCCTCTAAGGCAAAACTGAGTCAACATTAAAGCAGAAATTGTTACGAGGACCCTACTGATACTGGAGTTGTCATCTAGCATTTTAAGTTAGTTTAATACCTTAATACAACAATAAACTCAGACAGCATCATTCATAGAACATGCTTTTTCATGGCTTCTTCCCCACGTCAGTCAGACTGAAACAAAATGACTAAATGTGCAATAATAAGCTGGAGACTACCCTAACAGTTATGTATAATGTACCTTATTATTACCACCAGTGAAAAACAAGTTCATGAGCCATGCAAGATTTTAAACTGTGTAACACTTGTAATAGTACTTTCCCTTTATTTTTGACCATTACTTGTATTTTAAATTGTGTCTGGAAACTAGCCCTCTCAATAATCAATGCGTTACACAAGAGAAGGCACATTTAGCTGTAATTTTTGAGGTTGGTGGACTTCGTTTTATTTTTTGTGATGAATTAATTAACTCAGTGATTATAACGTAGGCACTAAAAGCTCCTAATGGGAATGTAATGATGTTTGAAATAAATTCTTTGCGACAATTGTCTCAGTTTTTAATGGGGTGTCATGTATCAGGCTGTGAGATTTCATCTTTGCTGTGTCTCTTTTGTGAAAAGTCACATCCACCCCCTTGATAGTCCCTTCAGAAATACTCAAAAGCAGTTTAAAGGCATTAAGGACCCTAAGATGGCAGTTTGTTGCAGCGTAAGGAAACATATGTACAGCTTTAATCGTCACATGAGGATTTGTGAGGTAGCAGTTTGTAATTGTTTGACCTGTTCTTTAGTTTCTCGTATCTTTGATCGTACATGTACAGGTTTTTCATCCAGTGCATACTGGATTGTCTTGAGTTTGTCCAAGGCGTAATGAAATCTCAAGACTACCGAGGCGTTCTGGACAAAAATGTGTGGCTCATTGTTAGAAAAGCTTGGTCTTCATTTGCTGATTGTGAGACTTTGTTCAGGATAATGACTCCTGAAAACAAAAGTTAGAAACACCCAAGAGTGGCTAAGTGCAAATTTTGGACGATTCTGAACTGGCCTCCCACAAGATCTGAGCTACATCCTATTAAACGTCTACGGATGGAGCTAAAACACAACGTCTGGAGAAGACACCCTCCTTTAAACCAACTGGAGAAGTTTCTCCAGAAGGAGTGGACCAAATGACCTGTGGACAGGTGCAGAAATCACACTGGTAGGTATGGAAATCATTCGATTCCCTTTAAAGGTTGGGACCAAATCTTACGTTACAGGTACCATCATATTTTCTCAGACCTGTTTCAGTAGTTTGATTTTTAAAGTTTCTGTTGAACCACAATTCAAAAGGAATGTCTGAAATCTTTTGGCTAATGTTCACAAAATTTTTGTTTACTGTCACTTTTGCCAGTTTTAAGTGATCATTATGGGTTTATTGCTTCATTAACAGAGTTGAGTTACAATTTAGTCCCTGTGTGTGCAGACACAGGACACTAAGGACTTGTATTTGCAAACCTTCACGTTCCTGAGTAAGTGCACTTTAGATGTTTAGATGTTTCCTAAAGCGGGTCATTAAAATACTGCTGATAATTGTGTTCCAATAACCAAAAAGGAAAAAAAATACTATTGAAATCTGAGGTGGGAAACATTTCTGTCCCTCTTTCAGTGTCAAACAGAAATTGTTCCTGCTATTCCAAAGCTCTTTAACGGGTTTCTTTTAAATTTGTTTTTATCCCTTTTCTTTTTGTTTTTCCTTAGTTCTTTTTTGATTTTCTCCTCCAAACCTGTTCTTCTCACACAATGATCTCGGCACAGAACACGTGCCAAGGTCTTTCTATCCCTCTTCGCTAATGCTAATGGTACCCATAATGCTATTTGCATTGAGATCTATGACTGTGATCTCCTTCAACTCGCTCTTTGCTTGGAGCCAAAAATAAAAATAAAAAAAAGATTTATATTTTCCAGTTTGAGAGTTTCTAAATAATTCCAGGCCTTGCTCCTTACAGATGGCTGTGGTTATGATGGGTGTTGTGTTTACTCAGATATCATTTCAGGTAGAAGCTGTAGTATGTATACAAAATATCTTTTTTGGACGCTTGTTAAAATTATCATTATGTTGTGACAGTATAGATAATCTGTGAAGAAGTCAAGCTTCTCTGTCTTCTCCCATTGCAGCAATACACCAGTCAGGCAGAAACATCCAATCAGAACGAGGAGGAGGATCTTAGCGCTGTCAATCACTCTCACCCTCAACCCGCTCACTTGCTCTCTGCTACACTACATCAGGTTCACTACGACATAGCCGACCATGAAAGCTAATACAGCGTACAGTAGCTTGATTGACAGCGCTAAGACCCTCCTCCTGGCTCTGATTGGTTGTTTTGATCGCCGCATTTTTGCAGACGACACTGGGAGGACGTGCAGGAGCTTGATCTTTTCACAGGTTATTTGTCTCATATTATACTGCCTTGACATGATGACAGTTTTAACAAATATGGAAAAAAAACACATTTCTGTGAAAGTGCAGTTTCAGTGATATGTGGG